AATGATCTTTTGTATATGATCTTGGATTTGGTTTGCCAATAGTTTGTTAATAATTTTTAGATCTATGCTCATCAGAAAGATAAGTCTGCAATTTTCTTTTTCTTCTCGTGTGTGTGTGTGTGTGTGTGTGTGTGTGTGTGTGTGTGTGTACACACACGCATGCGTGCATTCATCAGGATAATACTGACTTCATATAAAGAATTTGGAAGCCTTTCCTCTCTATTGTATGTAATAATTTAAGTGATGTGATGATAGTCCTTCTGTGAAGTTCTGGTAAAACTACAATGAATTCCTGTGGCACTTCACTTTTTTTTTTTTAAATTGGAAGACTTTTATCACTACTTCAATCCTGTTTTGGAGTCAGTAAAAATTGATTTCATCTTGGATGAATTTTGGTGTGTTGAATGCATCAAGAATTTTTTATTGCTTTCAGATTTTCCACTTTAGTGGAATAGAGCTTTTTAAATATGGTTTTCTGAGTCTCACTGGTATCTGTTATAATGTCCTTTTTTCATTTATTAATTTAGAATTTCTCTCTGTAACTTTTTGTTAATATGGTTAAAGGTTTGCCAATCTTGTTTATCTTTTCGAAGAATCAGTTCTCCTTACAGATTCCTTGTATTTTTGCGGTTTCTATTTCATTATAAGATAGTATCTATCTTTTTAAGGCAAGCACTCATATCTATAAACTTATTATAACTGCCTCTGCCTTATCTCAAAGAATCTTGCTTTTTCGGTAGTTATGGAAAATTTTTCATTTCCCCCAGATTTCCTCAAAAACTCACTAACCATTGAAAATTGAATATTGCTCATCTCTACGCGGTTGTGGCTTCTGCAGCGTTTCTAACTAATGAGATATAAGAAAGTGCCTTATTCTTTTTTTTTTTTTTTTTTTTTTTTTTTTTTTTTTGGACATGGAAAATTTATTTATTTATTTATTTTTTTTTTAAATTTATTTATTTATTAAGGATTTCTGCCTCGTCCCCACAACCGCTTCCCATTTCCCTCCCCCTCCCCCGATCAATTCCCTCTCCCTCATCTGCTCGAAGAGCAATCAGGGTTCCCTGACCTGTGGGAAGCCCAAGGACTGCCCACCTCTATCCAGGTCTCTTAAGGTGAGCATCCAAACTGCCTAGGCTCCCACAAAGCCAGTACGTGCAGTAGGATCAAAAACCCACTGCAATTGTTCTTGAAGTCTCAGTATTCCTCATTGTCCGCTATGTTCAGCTAGTCCGGATTTATCCCATGTTTTTTCAGACCTAGGCCAGCTGGCCTTGGTGAGATCCCAATAGAACATCCCCATTGTCTTAGTGTGTGGGTGCACCCCTCGTGGTCCTGAGTTCCTTGCTCGTGCTCCGTCTCCTTCTGCTCCTGATTTGGACCTTGAGATTTCTGTCCGGTGCTCCCGTGTGGGTCTCTGTCTCTGTCTCCTTTCATCGCCTGATGAAGGTTAATATTCCTGAGGATGCCTATGTGTTTGTCTTTGGATTCACCTTCTTATTTAGCTTCTCTAGGAACATGAATTATAAGCTCAATGTCTTGGTTTTGGAGCCTAAATCATGATCCGTCTTAGAAAAATTTCCATGGCTTCCGATAATGAGTACAAACTTCAGGTGTGCAGATGTCTATTAGGCATATTTGATCTGTAGTTGCTTAAGCAGAATTTTGTTGATTTTCTTTTTAAATGATCTCAACACAGATAATATAGGAGAGAGTGGTACTATTAAATTTATATGAAGCTTTTTGTTCTTTTATGATCAGTACAAAAAATACAGTAAAAGGAAAGAAATAAAAAAATATAAACTATTTCAAAATGACAGAGAATTTGGCAGGCCTATTTCTGGATCCTATACTGCTAAATCATCCAAGTACATGTGGGGGGAACGCTAAGTCACTGCTGGACTCCATGGTCATTTCTGCTGTTCCGGCTGGTATTCTATGTAAGCCAAGGACTTGAGGCTTCAAGGGTCAGTTCTCGGCAGTGGAGCTGCCTTTACATTATAACCGCACCTCCTTTGGGTATTAGAGCCATGGCAGGTCCCAGGGAGTTTTCAGCCTGTGAATTTGGCAGGTTCCCACTCACTCTAGAAGACTTTCACCTAGAGACAGCAAAGGTCCAAGCCCTGGGGCAAATCCTGAGTATGTCAGAGAGTGGGAACAACGAAGTCTCCACCGAGGTTGAAGGTGGAGGAGTCAGAACTCTGAGGCCTTCAGCTCTTTCTCAGTAGTAAATACACTGCCTGAGGAAGGAGACTGGGAAAACCAAGTGAACTAACAGGAAGAACTAGGCTCAGAGAGTTCAGACTGATCTGCAACCATCCCTAGGTGGGACAGAGGGAGCTGTAGCAGTCAAGCAATCTGCCAACCTCAAACTCCTGGCTCTCAGTCTCTACAGTGGCTCACAGGTGGTGGGGCTTGCTCCTTGGGAGGGAGAGCGTGGGAGCACTGATGCTGTACTTCCCATTGGGCACAGTTTTATATTTGCAAGTTTTTTTAAATGATAAAGATTTATTAAATGTTTTTTAGATAGAAAAGGGTTTTTTGAGATTATAATATACTATTATTCCTTGTACCCACAGATGTAGTTCTTGCCACCTATCAAAGAAATTTCTCTTTGCAACAGAGACCATTACAGAATAACTGATCACGGCAGAATTGTGAGCTCAGCTACAGCCCATGCATCTATAACAAGACCCCTAACAAGAAGACAAGATTTTAAAAGTCATTTTTCTTCTGCCTTGGAAGTATAATTTGTCTGTACTTGTAACAATTATGAAGACACCATTTCTGTCCTCTACTTTAAATTGTCCTAAGGTTTTTCCTTCTCCATGATGCACAATTACGAAGATGGTTTTCATCATCACTCCACGTTTCTTCTTCAGACATCATAGATCCTGTGATTACCTTTATCACTGCCATGGATCCTGAGACCCAGCAGCCCATTATAAATGCTATCGAGTTCTGTTCCGATGTCATGATCTCCTGGTAGTTTTTATTGGACTTTTTCTGATTTTCTTTGTGAATATCAAGAGTTCTTCAGTTTTATCTTTGTCTTGTAGACAGAGCATGACGCACACTGTTCTTGATCAGTGATCAAAATCCATTTTCTAACTCATTCTTTTCCAAGTCAGCTCTCCATAGAAGAGTTCCTGCTGGTATTTCCTCAAGGGAAGGGCATGGAGTAGTGGAGAAGTCAGCAAGAAAGGGAAGTAATTTGCCTTCTTGGTAATTTCAAATCTTTTGACTGGCATCTCTACTGAGGACTCAGTTATCTTCAGTTTGGAACAAAGAGGTCAGATTAGCAGGTGCTCAGAGCTCCTAGATAAAAGCCAGCATCCTCGTGTTCTGTTTGGTGACTGAGTACCTTTATGTCCGTTCCTCCCATGAAAACACAAGTGAACTTCACCTTAACCCTCCACACAGCATCCTTCTAGGAGAACTACATTTGGGGATAGAGAGACTGAAAGGACTTTTCCACAAGCCTTGTCTTCGATGCCTTGCCGGGCTGCTGTGAGGACATGCAGGCTCTCTGCAGAGATGGTTAATTCTACTGTGCTCTTCCCACACCGCATCTGCATGGGAAATTAAGTCCAGCCTTAACGAACCATTTGGGGTCTTCTCGCAATTGTAGGGTACTGCACTTTTATAGGACGTGGACAGGTTCTCTTGGTTTACAGTCTCAATACAGTCTTAGAAGTCTTATATTAACATATCCACTAGTGGCGATAGACATAGCTGACAACGGAAGTTTTCATTTGAAAAAGGCTTTTCCCTCATTGAGAGGGTACTGTGATTTTAGGTGATTTCATGAAAATAATGAAATAAGGAAACCAGGGTCCTTTCTCCTTGTTCCAACCAAACACAGTCATTCCTGTCTCTAGCCAAACACAGAAAATTTCTCCCATACTTGAAAAGCCCTCTGCAGCTTCCCTCTTGAGATGCAGCCCCAGTGCTTGCTCCATGGACACACAGAGCACAGAGCACTCCTGCACTTGTCTCTGCGGCTCCCATCCTGCAGGTGATGACCCACCATACTGTCCTCATGGGCTCTCATCAGGCTTAGCTGACCTCCCAAGGGAGGCCTTACCCTCTCTGAGGAGCAGATGGGGGTGGAGTGAGGGGGATGTGTGAAAAGTAGAGGAGAGGAGGGAGGGGAACTAAGAAACTACTAATGAAAGAAAGCACCGGAGGATTTTCACACAGGTCACTAGTAAGGCTAGGCAATTTAGAGTTGCTTTTGTGAATCAGTATCTCAGTTATTTCTAAAAATGACTATGGAATCCTTAAATTTGCCTTCTTTCCTATGTCTTTCTATGGTTAGTTTTTAAAAATTTTTTATTTACCTTTTTTTTTCCATTTTACATACCAACCATAGTTCCTGCTCCCTTTCCCCCCACACTTTCCCCTCATGCAACCTCCCATTCACACCTCAGAAAGGGTAAGGCCCCCCATGGGGAGTCAACAATGTCTAGCATATCAAGTTGCTGCAGGACCAAGCCCCTCCTCCCTGTACCAAGGCTGAGAAAGGTTTCCCTCCATAGGGAATGGACTCCAAAAAGCCAATTCATGCACTGGGGATAAATCGTCCTATGTCTTTTTTGAAATCTCTATGAATAGGCCCTTTGAGATGTAACAGATCCGTGTCCATCTCATTGGAAAGAAACAGAAGTACACATCATGTTTGCGATACAGAGAAAACAAAGTGCATGGTGGGCAAGGCCCCACACTTGAACCACAAAAGCTTGGACAGGCCCAGGTCACTCTTGTGATCTCTGCCTGGAATTGCTTCTGGAAACATCATGTGATGATCTTGAAGTGGCGATAAAGATTTTCTGGGACATGTGGGGTTAGACAAAGACTCCGACATCATGCGTCTACGGTCTCTAGGAATATTGACAATATCTCCTACTGAGAAGAGGGCAGAGGCCACATGCCAGATAAGTGGGAACGGGTAAGGCCTTTTGTGACTCCAGCCACATCTATGCACGCAGCAACAACATATAAAGCAATGGTCAACTGAGCTCTCAGTGAAGGCCCCTCCTGGTGAGATGAAGTCTGTCTTCTTCAGCCTTTCTCTGCTCCTCCTTCTGGAGAAGCAAGCAGCTGGGATAGGAATCTATGGTGAGTGCAGGGAGTCCCCTGGCAGGAAGGCACCAGGGAGAATGTCCACAGGGTGCTCTGGCAGGGAGAAGAACCCTCCACGGGGTGATCTTGACAGATGCTGACTGTTCTCCACCCAAACCCACTTGCCTTGTGGGCAACTCAGTGGGTTGACAGGGAAAATCCTTGGATAAGACTAGAGGGGGCTGTACAGACAGTGTAACTCAAACATTCTTTTTATCAATTACCAGGTGAGACAAAAGGACACTTTCTAGTAAAAACATCCCCAGTTGTATATTTCCAGAAAGACCATTTCCAGTATGGGTCCAGAAGAGCACAGGAGGATGGTACTGAAGAAAGCAGTTTTGAGCAAACTAAGCACCGTGTGTATGGCCAGGATGCTGATGCTGACCTGGGAGAGACTCAGAGTTCACAGCAACAGACAGGTGTAAGCGAAGACATAGTTTGTGATGAAGAAGACGAGATTAGCCAACAAAAATCCCGACTTCAGTCCCATTCACAAATAAAATCCCAAACACAACTAAAATCCCATGTAGCCCAGGTGAAGTCCCAAACAGGCCAGCTAAAGACCCTAGGCCAGGTGAAATCACAAATCAAGATGAAATCCCACAGAGCCCCTCTGAAATCCTCCCGGGCATCACAAACTCTCCAGGAAGCCTTTCCTCAGCAAACCAAGGGCAAAGCACATGCCCTGGATGAAGACCAGGCCCAAGTGCGTCAGCAGCATAAAATGGTTCACAGGCTCAAAAGCAAGCTTGGCTGGGCCAGGAGAACAGCAGAGTTCCTTCCGTATTTCAGACAGCACTTCCAAGGCTATGATGGGTATTTTGTGCAGTTTCAAGGGCAACTGCAGGGTGGAATTCATCACACAAAGCCTTTCCACCAAGCTCAACAGACGTGCTACTGTCCAAACGGAGAGTTAATCCTGTATCAAGATGCCTTCACAGAGTAACACATTCCTTATCGGTCAAGGCCAGGACACATTTAGAGGTAAGTGTCTCAGCAGGCGGGAGAGCTATCTACCCAGTGTTTGTAGGTGGAACACAGCGGACTGCTTGGGCCCAGCGTGAGATTGGTAGTGAGGCCCACAGCAATGGATGTGCTGACAGCAAGGTGTATGGAGCTGAGCTCCATTCTCTGTGAAGCAAGCACCCGGCAGAGGCAGGGCAAGCTGCCTGAGCTCTCGGTGTGCCTCAAATTCCTCTTCTTAATGAGTCTTTTCTACATTTATTTTGCACATGTGCAGCCATTCTGCTCTGGACACACAGCACTTATAAGATCATGTAAATTTAAGATGTATTTTTGTAACTTCCTATGCTTTCCATGGATATGGCTCAGTTTCTTGCTACGTTGTTACAAAGCATGAGTGCTTTTGTTTCACATACCAGTTAGTGTTCTTCCATCCCATATAGGGTTCCCTCATCCTGTAGAGACCACTGATCCATGGGGTTTTGCTTCATCTCTGTGAATAAAGGAGGCAAAGGAGTCCTAAGAACCATCCCTGTTTGTGATGCGGGAACTGTGAAAAGGGAGGTTCTAGGGTGGTGAGGGGTCCATTCCAGGGGATGTTTGCTCTATCTGGAGAGAAATCTTCTGCCCGGGGAGGAAAAGGATCTCACCTGCATGTTTGCATCAAGAGGCACTTCGTGTGAAGCGAAGGAAAGCAACAGAACTGTGGGCCCAGTGACCAGTCGTGGCTAGTGCTCCAAATGGCCATAATTTGGTCCAAGCAGACAAGGGACCTGGCCACACTCACTTCCTGTCTGCTAGTTTTCACTCTTGTGCATGTCCATCTATGTCCTCTCTCCATAGGAGTTGCCTGACCTGTGTGGACCGTGATGTCTTCAAGATGCCGACTCCCCTGCCGTCCTAGATGCTCTTGATCCACTCACACTGCTGCTCCTGAGGCTTTCTTACCTGGGCGCATGCTCACACCAATGCTCGCTAATAAAGACATCCTATCTGACTTCATTTGCTTTTTCAAAAACACATATTTTCGACTGAAATAAAATTTTATCATTTTCCCCTCCCCCTTTCTCTCCATCCCCTCCCAGATACCCTCCTTCCAATCTCCCATGTCTCCCAAACTCTCAAGTTGATATCATATTTATATTTGATTACTGTTTTGAGTATGCATATATGCTCATAAATATATAAATACAACTTACTGAGTCTATGTTTGTTGTTTGTATGAATGTGGTTGCTGAGCTGAACAGTCTGATTTGTACAACCAATTAGGAGGCTCATCCCTGGGGTAGACTAATTCTTCTTCTCCAAGGAGTCATTATTTTCCTTAGTTCCTTGTTTAGGGATGGGTCCTGCAAAATCTCCCCCTTTAATATTAATATGTCCATTGATACTACCATTGTTTTGTCTTGTTTATTAAACCATTTCTAGTAGATACTCTTTCACTGCAGACTTCTTCATGCAATCTTTTTGCCTCCTCTTCTCCAATGTTCCCTGAGCCTTAAGTGCAGTAACTTTTGTGGATGGGACTCCAAAGTTCCACTGATCTCTGCACTGTTTCCAGTTGTGGTGGTTTCTGGGACAGACTCCATCTGTTAAGAGAGGCTTGTTTGATGAGGTGTGGTAGCTATACTTATCTGTGGGTGTAAGGGTAAGATTGAGAGGACTTACACAGGTCTAGCAAAGTGGGTGTAACTGAGTCTTTGCTAAGTTCTATGACCTCACTAGGCCTAGGAAGTTGCCTAAGTTCTCAGAACCAGACAGGTTTTCCTCCTGTAGAGTGAGCCTAAGTCCAATTAGACACATGTGGGCTACAAGCAACATGTGAGCATCATTTGCTGCACCTTCAGCAGATCCCGTGCCATGCTCGTCACCACCGTGGTTCTTAGGTGCTGCAGTTGGTAGAACAGTACAGCTGCTTCCCTTCCTTGGCAATCCACATGGTATTTCCTGGTCCCGTGGAGGTGAAGAAGGCCTAAGGAAAGAGGCTTTTCAGATCGTCTGAGTCCTTCATCCTAGGTGTGCAGTGGCTTGCTCTGCTATCAACCTCTGATAGGTAGCCAAGGAAACATCAATAGTTTATATTGTTGTAACCAAGGTAACATCAATAGTTTATATTGTTGTAACCAAGGTAACATCAATAGTTTATATTGTTGTAACCAAGGTAACATCAATAGTTTATATTATTTTGGAAGTTTTTTGGAATAACCTGACCAACCATTATTAAGAAGCGTTTTTATGTCTGGTACTGGGGTTTTCTTATTAGATGATTTTTATGGGAAGCATGGTCAACCCAAAGCACTTTAACTTCCTTTAAGCAACATATATATGTATACATAAATTGTATAATTTTAGGTAAATATAAAATAAATTGATTCCTTGAGGCATTATCAAACAACCTTGGTGTTATTTGTCCCTTGTTTCTTCTTCTCAGATATACTGACCTCTCTCCCCAACATTCCTCTCCTCCGGAATCCCCTCCCCATTTTTCTTCTTCTCAGATATACTGACCTCTCTCCCCAACACTCCTCTCCTCCGGAATCCCCTCCCCATTTTTCCATTGCTCACGTTATATCATTAATCTCTTTCTACCTCTCAACCCCCCCAACCTCCACCTATGATCCCTTTATACTTTTCCAGTTACTGCAGTTACTACATGTTGTATACTTACAATATTTGGAGCTAGGAACTACAGAAGATGTACAATGTTTGTTTTTCTGGGTCTGGACTGCCTCACTCAATATAATCTTTTCTAGGTCTATCCATTTACCTTCAAATATCAAGGTTTTACTTTTTTATAGTTGAAGAGCTTTCCATTGTGCATATGCAACACATTTCCATTATCCATTCTTCAAAAGAAGAAAAGGAAAAACAGAAAGTCTACATGCAAAAGAATACAATTAGGTTCCTGTCTCTCATGTTACACGAAAGTAAAATCCATGTGGATCAAAGACCTCAGTGAGACCCCACTTTCATGGAGGCTTGTGGACATTTAAGGGTTGAGAGTGGTTTATAAATTGGCCATGTTCCAATAACTAATCCCCCTGACTAATATTCATTCAAACAAATGTAATTAACTCAATGGATTACACAAGAAAGAAAGAAAATCATCTAAGCAGAAGACTGAGATGAGGTAGGGCTGCCTCACTTCTGTGATAAAATGACAGGAATTGAACTGATTTATTTATTTATAAGTGCTTTTGAAGCTTGTGGAGAGAAAAGAATGACTCTCAGTGTGATCAAATACCAACTCACCTACCTCTTGGCACCACAAGCCTAGAGTCATGTGACCTGGAGTCAGCACCACCATCTTTTTGATTTTTGAAAGTATAACTCTAGTTACAGGAAGCAGTCCCCCCTTAACCGTGGCTCCAGGGGAGTTGGCATTCTCTGTGTGCCCAGTGAATAAAGCATCAAAACAGAGATGCTGCTTGGATCCTCAACTTCCAGTTTTTAAAATCTTTCTGTGCCCCTTCTCTCTCCCTGCAAAGATGGTCTCTGAATCTTGGGATTATACTAAAATCATGTCTTCTGAACATGATAGGACCGCTGCATTCATGAATCCACAATGCTAATGCCTGACAAGACCTGAACAAGATCAACCAATCAACATGCTAATATAGAGGAGGGGGGGACTCATGAACCCCCCCTAACTGAGGAGCTAGGAACAGTTTCTCGCTTCATGGGGAAAGAATTAGCTTTATTTAAAGATATGAACCCTGATAGATCTACCACACTCTAATGGATGCTTCAAGAACCATAATTATATGGAGTCTATGAGATATTTAAAAAGTGGACATGAAGTTTGGAGAGGTAGTAAAGTTAGGAATGGACTGTGGAGAAACCCCTCCAGTGAAAGAGGGGGTGAATATATCAATACATAATATGAAAGAATAAATACAATACTATATTAAAATTTAGAATTGTTTTGAGCTTTAGAATGTTTAGAACACAGTGGTGTTAGTTCATCGGAAGTCTGGAAATTTGGTGGATATAAGTCAGTTTTCTTGTAATTTCCCATTTGGAATGGCATATGTCCAATATATGCCTCTCAACTTTAGTGTAGAAATATATTACTTGAAGCCGGGCGATGGTGGCGCATGCCTTTAATCCCAGCACTCGGGAGGCAGAGGCAGGCGGATCTCTGTGAGTTCGAGACCAGCCTGGTCTACAGAGCTAGTTCCAGGACAGGTTCCAAAGCCACAGAGAAACCCTGTCTCGACAAAACCATAAAAAAAAAGAAATATATTACTTGTGTAGATGTATTAAGTTCTTTTATTTTTGAGACTGTAACATAACTAGATAATTTCCCCTCCCCTTCCCTTTCCTTCCTCTCAACCCTGCTATATACTCCCTTTCTCTTTCCAATGCATGTTCTCTTATTTCTTTAATTGTTGTTATGAATATACTTCTGTATTGCTAAGTATAACCAACCCAGTCTTACAGTGCTCCTTGTATATGGCTTTTCAGTGCTGACCATTTGGTATTAGATAATCAGTTGGTTTCTCCCACTCTCAGCATTTCTTAGTTACTTGTAGTTCTTTGTGTACGGTTGAGGCCTCAGGCTTTTTCCTGTCCAATATGGCATGTCTATTGTTGCCTTTCTTCAGCTAGTGTTTAGGTGAGAGTGCATGGACATAGTTTCTGACATTATCAGGAGATGAAGTCTCACTGCAAGCTCCCTGATCCTCTAGCTCTTACGATCTTTCCACCCCCTCTTCAGCGACATTTCTTGAGTGCAGAAACTGTTTTGTAGATGTACTCATTTGGACTGGGCTCCACAACTCTGCATTTTGAGTGGTTGTGGAATTTTTTTGTAATGGTCTGCATCTATTGCAAAGGAAAATGTTCTTGATGAGAGATGAAGACTACTGATTTGTTGCTGTAAGAACAAATATTTAGGATGCAGTTAGTAATTGTGCAGCTTATAATGAACTGGTGGTACGTTCTTCCCCAAGACCCACGACTTCAGTGACCATAGCTAGTGAGCTAGGTTTCCAGTACTAGATGTGGTTTTCCTCTTGTTGAGGGTGTCTTGAGTCCAGTTAGAGAGCTGTTGGTTATCCCTAAGGTATGTGTGCCACTACTATACCCATAGAGTTATATCATGTCAGCTTCATCATTATATAGCCAAGGGTGGAACAGATAGACTTTTCAAATTATTGGAATAGAATAAATATATTTACATATTGGAAGGCCAATATTAGAAGACAAGATGTAAATTGTTATATCTTAAATTGGATTTACTGATAAATGAAATGTTGACTTCTAAGACCTAGAAAGTAAAAATTAGAAAAATTTAGAAATGAGATTGTTGAGATTGTTTGTAATCAGCAAAATGAGGTCACCTACTAGTATGACACACAGTTATGACTGGTATCCATATATAATGAATTTGCTTAAATTCAATCCCCTTTCTTTTCCCTCCAATTTCTATATCTACCTCCACTATACATTCCCAACTTCATGTGCTCTTTTCTTTAACCCACTGAGTTCAGTTAGTATTCATGGGTATACGATGATCCACTGCAGCATGGGTAGCCTCTCAAGGGCTGTATCCTTGAAGAAAATGTAATCTCCCTCTCCCTCTCCCTGCAGCCATCAATCGATAACAGTTGCTCATCTAGGGGTGAGCATCATGACCTTCCCCCATTCATGCTGGTATTCTGGCTGATTTGATCCTGTGCAGATATTATGTATATAGTCATAGCTGCTGTGAGTTCATATGTGTAATGGACTGTTATACCTGGCAAACACTTTTTCACGGAAGATACCTACTACCTCTGGATCTTTCCTTTCCCATCTTCTAAGATGTTCCCTGATCTATAGGGGTAGGAAGTATGATATCACTATCCCGTTTAGAACAGAATACTCTGACATCTTTTAGTTTCTGCACACTGGCCAACTGTGGGGCTCGCTATCAATAATCTGTAAAAGGAATCTTCTTGAGACCCATTGATCTGTGGGTATAAAGATAAGAACTTAGGAGGCCGTTTATTACTTTGTACATTTAGCAAAATATTAGTAGTAGTTTTACCCTAGGGTCCACGATCTAGTGAGCCACAGATTTAGGGACCAGTTAAGAGTACTGGGAATGAGTTCCACCTTTTGGAGTGGACTTTATTTTTTGAGGGGTGGGTCTTGAGACAGGGCTTCTCTGTAGCTTTGGAGCCTGTCTT